CTGGGTTCCCACACTGCCCAGGGGCTTTGCAGCTCCTGTCACAAATACGGGAACCCTGAGGGAGCAGAGGGAGGCCTCTGCTCACTGATGGTTCCTGTAGGAGCTGGAGGATCCAGTTAAGCAATTCCAGAAGACATTCAGGGTCTGTTTGGTGCTGAGAAATGCCATTAATCCTTACATTGCCATATCAGGATTCAGAGCTACTGAACAACTGACAATTTTTATGGTTTCTCCAAGTGCTACTTTTTTTGATCGTGCCACAATTAAAATATTTAATGGAGAATCATTTGTACAGGTTTGGAAGTACTTTTTCCATACCTGCAGATTTTGCAGTTTAGTCTTTCTAGAGCTGACTGGTCATACCTGTGACACCCTCAGAATGTGCTAACATTTGCACCACAACCTCAGACTTTTCACCCTAAATTTGAGGAACTCATTGACTGATATCTGCATTTACATTATACAAAATTTAAAATTCCTTTTTGCAGTGTTAATTGAAGTACTGGAACACAGGATTTTGGAAAAACTTGTAGTGAAGACTACTTGATTCTCAATCCCCTGAGCTGAGTTTCTAGCAAGCCTTTGTAGTCCATTAGCTACTGGATTTTGGAATTATCATCTGCCCCTCAGCCTAACAGCATTTGGAATTACTCCAGAACTGAAAATCCCAAATCCTGGAGTGTGGAATAACATAATAGAGAAGCACTTGCCTAACATAAGATGTGATTCTACGTTTGCAGCAGAGAAAGGATTTAAAACAGGGTCATCAACAACAAATATCAGGGAAACTACTGGTTAGCAAAGAAAAATAAAAAGAAAATTCCCTGAAAATAATGAAATCTTTTCCAAACCTTTTATTTGTGAATCCATATTGCTGTAGATAAAGAATCAAGATGGCAAAAGACCCATTGTATATAAGAGAGAGGAAAAAACACACAGAGGTGTATTAATTCACTTTTAAGGCTAGAAACTTCCAGAAAATTCAAGAGCTTCAAAAATCAGATTTGCCAAAATCTCTGACTTTTGGAGTTAAACTATAGTTACAGAAATAGGTAATTTATTTCTAGTATTTTTATCACTAGTGTATTCACATCTCTGCTCTCATATGTGGAATATATATTAGATTCATAAAAATGAATTGAAATTTACTATTTCCTGGATTATCTTATTCCAGTTAAACCCTTGATTCATAAGGCAATTGCCGAAGATAAATAGAACTTCATGAATTGTTCATAAACTGCACAAATTCACGAGTTAGAGATGAAAAATGTAAGCCACACAACCCTTCATCTATAGGCCACAAATTCCAGTCCAGGTTTGAGATCAGCAGCGACCAAGATCCATTTTCATCTTATCACCTGAAGGCTTTCTGGTAGCATTTGTGAACTCGGTTTGTTCCCTCAGCTCCATCTCTGCAGGATAAGTGGCCACATAAATAATTCACTGGAACTTGTCAGAAACAAGAAGTTGTGAAATGTAAAGTCCCCTCCATCCATCCAGCTGTATAAGCAGCACAGGAGCTAATTTTCTAACCTTTCACTAAGCTGTGCATGAAACTAGTCACAGAGGAGCTCTTGCACATTTTTAATAAACTAAAGCTCCTCAAATATCAATTCTTTCTAATAGCACACTCCCTAGAAATACCACTTTGTGAGGTTTGTCTGTTCTTTTTGCAGAAAAAACTTCTCACAGGGACCTTTGGCTACACAATTATTACAAAAACCAGCTTTTCCTTAACTGAATAACATTGATGTTGTGTTGTTCAGGGGGAGTACATCAGAGTCAGCCTTACCTGAAAAAAAAGCACAGAGGGGGCAGGGCACTACTTGTTTTGGGGTTTTTGTGGTTTTGTGCAGTGTGGGTTAGATTATAATGGGATTTTTAACGTCATTTGGAACCTTAAACATTTTTTAATTTGTATGAGAGAGAAAACATGAGGACCATGCCCACTTTTGTCATTGCAGCACTCTGGCCATGTCTCCTAGGAGAAATGGAATAACAGAATCGTGGAGTGGTTTGGGTTGGAAGGGACCTTAAAACTATCACATCCCATGGGCAGGGACACCTTCCAGAGACCAGAGCCCCATCCAACCTGGCCTTGGAACACTGAAAAATATGGGAGAGCCACTTGGTCTGCAGCACTTTGGGGCTGGTGACTTTCAGCCCGTGATGTGGTGAACTCCAGCTCCTCTGCAGTTCTGGCTGAGACAAAGGGATGCTGGAGGCCAGAAATGCTTCACTGGAGTCTTTACTAGAAATCAATCTACATGGATAGTCACTGGGTTTATTTCTGCAACTACAGCTACAAAATTAGAGTTTTAAATAAAGCAGGTTTTTACAAGGTTTAATGGACATTTAAATATTTTGCCCTTGCATAATGAGTTAGAAGAACTTTTCTAAGGAAGTGACTGAAAGTAGGCATTTGTTATTTTCTTGTTCTACCCTCACACTGAGACCTTAATCAAGCAGATGTAGGATTTGTACTCATGGACCAGCTTGCACCTGCACAGAAAACCATGTCCTGTGTCCTCCATTTATCCCCGTTCACTGCACTAATCATGGGTTTAGAAATTATAAATTACAACAGACTTTCTTTATACTGCTGTGAAAATTTAGCCTCCAGGTAGCCACTGGTAACCCCCAGACTGTCCAGATGCAGACAAGTGTGGAAGTAATCTCAGAAATCATCCCTGTGCCAAAGGTTTTAATTAAAAAAAAACAAACAAACAACAAGGAGCACTCCTTAAGACACTTGTGCCTACAAAAAGAGGCAGCACACCAACTACAATAGCAGGAAGAGTTATACAGCCCTGGCTTTTCCAGCTGTAGCTGCCTTACTAAAGGCACTGCTTTTTTGGGAAGAATTGTGTTGAAATGATGAGCCAAAAGTGACAATAATCATCCTGCAGCAACATCACCCCCCTCAGTGCTTTGATGCCTGCAAAATGGCTTCTAACATGTATTTACAGCCAGCCCATGACTACAGAAAATATCCCATCAATACACAGATCAAGCTGATGCTTAGGATGACTTTCCAAACCACCTTTGCCAATTGCCCTTCTGCAAATAAGGGCCACATGTTAATTGCTTTAAATATTGTAAGGGATTAAGCAATTACAGGGTTTTATAGAATACAGTCAATAAAAAAAATCCTCTCTTTTCAAGTCTACTACATGAACTTAATTATGAGATAAAGTGTTAATGATCCTGTAGTAATTTTACACTGTGAACAAGGCAGATGTACAGGCTGGCCAGGCCTGTGATAACAGGAATTTCAGTGAGATTTCAACTGGGCACCTGCTGCTGCAGAAAACCCTTCAGGTTCCAAGTCATTCCCCGAGGAAATGAGTTTTTCAAGCTGGCATAGCAGTAAGGACCAAAGGGCTTGATGCTTTTCAGAATGAGAGGTAGGACCCCAAACCACTTCAGAATTCTACAGGCTTTATACAAAACTCACTTGATTAATCTCTAGCAGACTCTGGAAGGTTGTGACCAACTGTGAGGGGCCACTACTAATTTTGGTTATTAACCTCATTTGATAGAAAGATAATCTGTTCTCCATTAATGTTAATCCCTTTAAAATATTTCTAGTGCTTCTCCCATTAATCCATGCCCTTTATTTGATTGCAGGGGGACTAATTGCAGAGTAAGATAAAGGTTTTGATGAGTATGGAGGGAAAAAAAATGAAAAAAACTTATCTTTAAAAAGAAGATTTTCTTGAGAGAGGAGCATTTCAAAACTTTTATATTTCCTAGTCCTAGAAAGGGATGGGATCTGTAGAGATTCCTAGGTAGAAATCTCCAGAAGCATATAAAACTAGGGTTTGTGGTGTATTCTTACACCAAACACATTTAAAATCCTTCAGCACTATTCAAATACAACCAAAACGTGATGGGTTGAGAACATTTCCCTTGTGGCTGCTGAGAAATAGGTGCCAGTAACATGATTTCTGCTTCTTTGTTGAGCAC